GCTTTCGCGACCAATATCCATACTATAGTTTTTTTTGGGTTAGATCGCGTAAATATAAATGTGTCGTTGAATCCGCCACCACCCGACAGAGCGCTGAACTGCCACTGCCGATATCCGGGAGTTTGAATCCAGGCCCGCGACTAAAGCATCGAGTTGGTGGTCTCAGTGTGGTCACCAGCAACTTAGATAGAGACCCATCGCATAAAATTTGATGTCGCGCTGAATCTGACTAAAGTCTAACTCTGAGAATTCAATATCGGTGAGACTGCGATGTGGCGAACGTCGCTCTCCCAGTCACAGCGAGGTGGGTCAAGCGCCGCCCTCTGCTGCGCGCGTGGTGCCGGAGGTCACTTGGAAGACGAAGGGAAGCTCGCGAGCTGCGGCTTTGTCAACATCCGCTTCCCTTGTCGCCCCGCACCAAGTAGCGCGAAGCGTTTGCGCCACGAGTGAAATATCACAAATTCGTTTACAAAAATGTACGGGAAAAAAATCAAAACAAACAAATCCACGTGAGAAGTTACGACGACTTGCACCTGCGTCGCCCACGCGGCTGTGGCCCTTCACCATCCGCGGCGCGAGCGCCTCCCCCTCCGCCCGCCGTCGTGTGGAGTAATTGGAAACGCCGTAACGTCATTAGCGGAGCGGATGCGCAATTAATCTTGAGGCCTTTTGGGTGAGCGGGGGGGCCCTCTCGCGCCACGAGCGGCCGCACGAGTCTCTTCAAACAGACGAGGGGGGGGGGGGGGCCCGGCAGGAGGTCTTAAACAGCTGCCGGGGAGCGCGGCGCACGGTGCGTGGCTGTCCTCGCGACGCCGCCGCCGTTGTCGCTTAATAAGACCGATTCGTGTTTCGCGCGGTGGCGGCGAGGGACGTGGAAAGCCGTCAACGCAAATGGCAGCCTCCCTCCTGCCTCCTCCTACCCCCTCCCTCTCCCTCCACGCGCCTGCCCGCACAGCAGAAACACCACGTGTTGACAATCATTGTTGCAAAAGGAGGCGCGGTGGTAAAGATACGGCGCCGCAATTGCCGGCGCGTGCCGCTGTCGACGGGGAAGGCCGTCATTTGAGGGGGGTGACGGAAAGCCCCTCGAACAACTGGGTAGAGTTGGCCTGCTCTTCCACGCGGGGCCAGACGCGTTATTCCACCGCACATGAAATAATGTTGAAGTTAGCGGGCTTGGCGAGGACACGCCCTGGCTAGAAGCGGGGGACGGTGGTCGAAAATCGCGATGGCGTGGCAGCCAAGGCGCACGGAGAAAATGGAGCGACGGCTTGAGGGGTGCCTTCATCCAGCAGTGGATTGAGCGCGGCCAATGATGATGCTGACTATGAAGAATATTGTTACCAAAAAATAACAGAGCGAAGGCACGAAAAGCTTGATGGGATGAGCGTCGCACCGCGGAACGTGTGGGTGAGTGTCACGGGAGGGTTATTCTGGCCGCACGCTTTGGGGGTGGGAGCGGGGGGGGGGGGGGGGTTCTCCACCGCGGCGGGGCCTGGTGGCGGCCGCACGTCGCGACGGCTGCCCCGGGGGCCTCCCGCGGCGGGGACAACCAAACCCACAGTGGCAACGGCGAGGGAGACGGCGGCGCTGCCTGAGCACCCCGGGTCGGGGTTAGGGTCGGGGTCGTTGGCAGAACTCGTGCACAGTGGCAGTGGCTGGTTGGCTGCTGTGGTGAGGGTCATAGGGAGGACTCGGCAAAATTACCGCTTTCAGTTTCTTGCGTTCCCTCCCCCCCCCACTACTGAATGTCCGGCCGACGTCCATTCCATCCCCCCACGGGAAAATCCCTCTCGATTGGAGCCGAGTCACCGGCCGTCTGCGCTGCGCGCTGCATTACGCTGCCGCACGACTTCCCGCCGCCGATGTTGCCGCTACGGCCTGCCCCGCACAACCAAAATTAATAGGCGGGAAATTTTGCGTTAATGGGGCTGTCCGTAGGTTTGAGACACCGCCCCGCGGGGGGGACCGCTGGTGGGGGGGGGGCTATCCCCTGCCCCCCCCCCCCATTCTCGCCGCTCCTCCGACCGGCGGAGGTCGAGGGTGGGGGTGCCCCCCCCCCCCCCCCGCACGCCGCTCGGGAACCACGGAGGAAGTGGCGCCGTTTGGAGGGGGCCTCTCGCTCGCCGCCTCCCTGTCACCTCTGATTTATTGCGGGGAAGAGGCGGACTAAAGAGATCATGTTCCCATCTGTGATTCTGCTGTTTTCTCTTGGGCAGTTATTACCGTGTGATTTATCATAGGGCTTCTGTGGAGAGAGCCTCGAGCACGCACGCACACGTACGTACGTGTGTGTGCGTGGGTGTGAGTGCGCGCGCTCTCAGCCTCATCTCATTCCCGCACGTTTTATGTCGCTGCCTTTTTAAGTCTCTGGTGGTTTCCTTTTTTTTATCGTCAGCTTTCTTTAAGAACCACCGAAGCTGTCATCCCCCGCCCCCCACCACATCCCTTTCCATTGAGAGATAAACGGAGGTGACGTTTGAAAGGGGAAGGGCCCCCCCCCTCCCCCGTCGTGCGATGTGGCCGTGACTTAGCAGCTGGATGACGGCGCGGTGACGAGAGATGCCGTGCCGGCGTTGCGAGCGGCGGGAAACCAAAGCGATGAGAAATCGCCGGTTGGCACTCGTTAAAACTGAAACGAGGAAACTATACATTTTTTGTTTTATCTTACGAGGCGCAATGCCCACCGAGCCGTTACAGCTCCTGTTTAGAAGCGACCTGATCACAAATGCCAATGTATAGTAACACTCTAAACTCGCGGTGACGTTGATTCTACATGCGGAGGGGAAAACCAGAGGACCCGGAGAAAAATCCACGCGACCACGGGGAGAGAGAGAGAGAGACACAAACTCCAAATATACAGCAGGTGTCAGAGGTCAGGATTGAACCCACGACCTCCTGCGTACCAGGCGAGGTAGTTAACTCCTCGCTACCGTGGCGCCCCTCGCCCACGCTTGTTACACCGCGCGACACCAGCATCAGCACCTGCACCGTCCATTCCGCCGTTTTCTTGCGTCGGTGTCAAGCGCGTTGAGGGGGGGGTGGGGTGGGGGGGCAGAGAGGAAGTGATGCCGACACTTGACGGAGCGTCGTTGGCTTGTGCGTCGGAGTCATCGCGAGCGCTCGTCCGTGCGGAGAGTGAGCCGGTCCGGCCCACGGGCCGCCGCTGTTTAGATTTCCGCAGCGGGGGCCCCCTCCCCCTGCCGTGTGCGAGTGGGGGGCCGCGCCGCGGCCAGGTTGATCGGCGGCAACGGACAAAGATCCCCCGAGCAGCCTATGCAGGCTGTTAGGGCAAGTGCCGTTAGCGTCTTCGTGAGTACCTATGAAGGCCGACGTGGCAATTGAGGGGCTGGTGCGGCCAGAAGAAAAACGACCGGCCGCCGGTGCTGATCGTGACGCACCGTACCAGATTTGTCATGTTGAGCTTGCGTCGACATCGGGGGAGGTCCAGGACCGGGGCCACATGTTTGACAGGTCACCGGGTTTGTAGGGCAGAGCGTTAACCACTGCGCCACCGCTCCCCCCCCCCCCATCCCCGCTTGCACACGCCGGGCTCGCGATCCGCGCAGTGGGGTTTGGCGCGACACCTCCCCGACGGGACCGTCACCGTGGCCTGCGTCGGCCCCGGCGCTCTGCTTGCTGGGGGCCGTGCGTCACCCTCCCCCCACCAGAATCCGCCGCGCAGGCTGATCTGATTAAATACGGCAGCAGCGGAGGGGGGGGGGGGTCGGCGCTAATGTGGGCTGAAGCAAGGCGGATTGAATGGATCTCCGCTGTATAATCCGACCTGCTCTCGTGTCCTCTCGGGCGCGACGGGCGTGCGCGCAAGCGCAGCGCGTTCCGGGGACGCGTGGCGGCGGCGGTTGTGGCGGCGGTGGCGGTGGTGGCGGCGGCGAAGGGAGAGGCGTAAAATATGGCTGTCGGGACGAGGATGACACCGTGCTTCGTGCCGGAGTCCTTGTTGATTCACCGAGTGCAGGGCTCTTGTCGCGCGTGTGTGCGTGTGTGTCTTTTGTCTTTTGCTTGTGTATGTGCGTGTGTGCGCGTCTTTGTGTCGTCTCGGCCTCAAACGAATACCTGCTGCAGTGCGTAAACATCGGAATTGATTGGGGAGACAAAAGCGGAGGGGCGTGGCGCTGTCCACACTACCTTCACGTGTGCCCTGCCGGCCTTAATAGGCGCTCGCAAACAGCACTCTCCCCGACGGTCTGTTAAAGCTATGCAAGGGACATCTTTTTATCGTGTGTGTTTGTGCAGGGTTTGATTTCTCTCTGGATGTTTTCCAGGCCGCTGGTTAACTCCTAGCCTCGGCCGGAGCGAGGGGAGGTTTGCCGGATGTGGTGTGCCGGGTGTGGTCATGTTTTCCTGCTTTCTCACCTGGACAGACCCGGCTGAAGTTAGGCCCGGGGAGAGCGCGTGTGCGGTGTGCAGTTTGACCGCGTGGCCCCGGTGTTTTCGTGGAGAGGTTCGCCACCGTGCGAGGCACCTGGCAGCGGCGTTGTAGCAGCTGGTGTTCGGGTTGATCCACAAACTCTGCCGCTTTCGTTCCGCTCGACAAACTTCGCTGTCGTTAACCGCGTCGCAAAAAGTAACGATTTTGCCCAAAACCTTCTTCGCATTTGCGGGGCGGAGGAGGGGTGCGAGGCGGATTGGGGGGTCCGTGGGTGATGCGGTGCCGAATTGCGCCCTCGCCGTGTTTTCCCAACACGCGGTTTGTATTTCCGCCCGCGTGGCGGCGTTGGCGGCGAGAATGAGGAAGGGCAGACGAAGGGTTCCGGCCTCTTGTAGACACTGAGCCCCGCGGGGGGCCGCGTGCTCCACGCGTCGCTTCGTATCTTTCGTGCGGCCAGATCGGCGGAGACCGGCTCGCCAACGCACGCACGCACACGCGTCGCACGCGAGCCCTCGGCAAAGAGAAAAAAAAAACTAAACGTGAGGCCTCCCGTCTGACCCCGGCGTTCTGCTGCGCTCCCCCCCCACCGCCCGTCCCTCTCCAACAGAACGACATGCAGCTGAAGCCGCTGGAGCGAGCCGAGCGACTCAAGGAGCGACTGGTCCGGAGGCAGCACAAGGGCGAGGGCGGCAACTGTCGCCACGGCAACAGCGGTGGCTCGGACCGCGAGCGAGGACGCGGCCGCCACAAGCAGCCGCTCAAGAGGAAGAGAGAGGTGCGCTCTTGTGGTGGCGCTGACACGCGCACGCACGCACGCATGGGTGTGCACACGCCTGCCGGGGTTTTTTAATGTTTTATGTGCAGCCGTGCATCTCCGTGGTGATGACCGTTTGACCTGCAATCTCGATCTCTCTTTTTTGGGTGGGGGAGGGGGTGGAGGGTGTTGCGGGGGGGGGGGGGGGAGTACAGTGTGCGCACTGCGGCGTGCGCGGGCCGTGGGGCCTGTGTGCAGGCCACCCAGGCTCGACGGATCCCTCGGAGCGGCCTCGTGATTGTGCGCGTGTGCGCTCGTGTCTGGAGCGCAACGTTAAATGTGCACGCTTGCTGCCGCGGTACTGGTGTGCGTGCGTGTGTGTGTGTGTGTGCGTGCCTGCGCGCGCTACGGAGCCGGGGAGACATGGATTGCGATTTGTTTACAGGCGCCGAGGAGGAGCCCCGGGCTCGCCACAGCAAGGCGGTACAACAACGTGTGGGGACTAATCTCCACCTGTTCTGTCTGTGGGACAGGATGTTGCCCCATCGCACGCGCGGGTTATATCCGGACGCTCCGGTTCCCTCTCTAAAGCACTCTTTAATTGGCGGAAAAAAATATTTACGCGTAGAGGACTGCAGAGCTTGGGCAATGGTACCTTATTTAAACCGCCGCGCCGGGAGGTCGAACCGGCGACCTCTGGGTTGCAGGTCCGGCGCGCCGCCCACGACTCCGCAGCGTCGTCGCGCAAACAGTTAGCGCTGCCTAATTACGTGAACTAATTAATAGTTTAGAGGGGCTTTCATTTGGAAATATTAATCGCTGGCGCTGTTTGATATCCCTGGGAAAGTCTCTCCCAAGATGTGGCTCCGATTAGATCGGCGAACGCTCCTCATCCGGCGAGGCGCTCACAGATGTCTTTAATTGGCAGGGATCAGCAATTCATCCGCTCGTCAATTACAATCCCACCGAGAAGCCGTTACAGCGATGGCGCCCCCCCGCACGAGAAGAGACTGCGTCTGATCGGGACGCTGCGTGTTGTGTGCACAAGCGGTGTGTGGCGTGGGTGGCGGTGCAGGAGACTCGCACCGCCAGAGATGCCGCTGTCACTCTGGATGGCCGTGTCTCCGATGCCGTTTGTCGCAGCGACTCTCAAAGTCTCCCGTCACGCTCGTCCCGGCAACAGGGCTGCGCGTGGCCTCGAAGGAAAAACGTGTACGATGGGGGCCATATTTTTAAGGCGATGGCCCTTTGTCAATTAAGAGAGGTCGGAGAGGTGGTGGTCATCGTGGTGGTGGCGGTGGTGGTGGTGGTGGTAAGTGCTACCAGTTACAGAGTGCCATGCCAGAGGAGTGAGATGCAGCAGCCATCTTGTATTGATTCTCCATTTCTGTACCCAGAGGCGGTGCCGTTTCTCTCTGCTCTGCGTGGCCCCTGCGGTGAAAACGACCGCTTCCTAAGCGCCCCCTTCACGTACAAATGGCTCCCTGTTCCTGCCTTTAATTCGGGAGGCTCGCAGCACCCTCCCCCAGTCCACCCTCTCCCACCCCCCTCACCCCCGCACCCCCGACCCCAATCGGCTCGTCGCCGCGAGCACGGTCACCCGACCTCGCGACCCAGAACATCTCGTAGACTCTCTCTCTCTCTCCGGCTTTGCTCCGTTAGTCCCGAGGACAGACATCTGACATGTGGCCCGAGCGTCAAATTTTATTCCGCTTGGACCGTTAGGCGTCGTTCGTTGGTTGCATTTTTTTTTCTAATTTAATCAACGACAACAATTTAAGCCGCGCCGTGAATTCGATTGGCCCTGCCCTGCGTGCAGCCTCTCAATGGACAGCCAGCACCCTCCTCGGCGCATGGGGGGGAGGGGCGAGCTCCACCAGACGCCAATCTCCAAAGCCGCGTCGGCTGCTCTGGGCGATGTTTCTCCTCCTTCTCCCCCCCCCCCCCCCTCGTCATCGTCCGTGCCACCCACCCCGGGGGTTCGCATTCCCCCGGCTCCTCATCAAACCGGGACTGTCGATCACAACTCAAAGCGGAGGGGGTGGGGGGGGGGGGTGAGGCTCGGGGCTGCTGGGGGGGTGGAGGGGGGTTTAGGGGATTACGGAGGGGGTGGAAGGGGGGTGGGGGCGGTTGGTGGGGGGGGGGACTGTGAGTGGTGGCAGGGAGCTTTCGACGCATTCGTCAGCGCGATCCACGGCGAGCACGAGGAGTGGCGCTCGTTTGGCAAGGCCTCTCGTTTCTCGTGGGCGCCGCAGAGACCCAGGAGGGACAGACGGAGCGAGCTGGGACCCCCCCCCCCCCCCCCCACTGAGCGGATTCCCCCCAACTCTACCGCTTCCATAATTACTCGAGAGAATATTCGGAGAACACGGACACGGTCGGGGGGGGGAAATTATCACGCGTGTGCCGCTGGACGGGAGGTTGTTGGGCGTGGCTCGGCGACGTTTTTGTCGGCGCAGCCGGTCGCATCGTGCCGGGCGTGGGTTTTGGAGAGGGGGTTTCCTGCCTTCGCGAGGCTGGATGTGGTGGTGTCGCCGGGGTAGTGGGGGGCGGCCGTTATTGTTAAAGGGGCGGCTCGAGGTGGAGTGGTCGATTAATCGACTGGCTCGGGCGATCGCCCCGGCCGTCCGCGATGGGCGAGCGCGACGTGCCGACGACGCCGGCCAGAGGCCAGTCCCGGGGAGCTTCGCGCGCCGAAGCCTGCCGCCACCGCTGCCACCGCCGCCGTTAATTAGTTTGGATGGAAAGCGGCCATTTCTCTGGTACTTTGGCGAATTAATTGGCCGATGCAATTAAAATACGAAACTAGGCGCAAGGATTTGTTGCAGCACGTGGCCCCCGGAATAAATTAAAGGCGATTTAGGTAATAAATTCCGCGATAGCGTTTGATTTGTTTAATAACCTGGCCTGAGCATCATGTTTAGCCCGTATGCAAAGTAGGCCTAATGAGGAGCCATAAACACTGCGAGCGAGCGAGCGTTTATGTCGCGCGAAACACCGGAGCTTGGTGGGCTCCAGCGAGCGGAGCGCCGTGCCGTGGCGGGGAGCCGATTCGTGATTCCGCTGCCACCGAGGTCGAGGTAATCGCGGCCGCTAATCACCTGCTAAGTTACGCGGAGAGGGAATCCCGCCACCGTCGCACGCCGCTGCCTCGTTCTGTCATCTGCTCTTTGCCGACGTGTGAGCTCGTGAGCTCGTGTGCTCGTGAGCTCGTGAGCTGGTGTGCTCGTGAGCTCGTGAGCTGGTGTGCTCGTGAGTTCGTGAGCGCGTGAGCTCGTGAGCTCGTGAGCTCGTGTGCTCGTGAGCTGGTGTGCTCGTGTGCTCGTGAGCTCGTGTGCTCGTGAGCTCGTGTGCTCGTGAGCTCGTGAGCTCGTGAGCTCGTGAGCTCGTGAGCTCGTGAGCTCGTGAGCTCGTGTGCTCGTGAGCGCGTGAGCGCGTGAGCGCGTGAGCGCGTGTGCGCGTGTGCGCGTGTGCTCGTGTGCTCGTGTGCTCGTAGTTGCTCGAGTTTGGAGGCGGTGCAAGGTAGCAATCGTGGGGGAGGCCCCCATCGCGTTGAGCCGAGGGGGCACACGGAGACTAATAATAACGGAGGGGTTTTAGTGTATCTGCAATTCACCCGCTCTCAGACAAAGCGATTGAAAGGCTCCGTCAGGAACGTGCGAAAAAAAGCAGCAAAGCATGCGGTTTGTAACAGCGGTGCAAACGTTTTGGGGGAGAAGGGGGGTGGTTGAGTAGGATTGGGATGGGGGGCAGGGGTGGGGGGGCAGCTGTCATACGTCATCGCCGCGCACGTGGTGAGATGTGTGGCCGTGGCGTGACGGGATGCGACGTGTCGCGCCCGCCGCAGAATTACGGCGACGTGCTTCTTTTATCGGGATGTTTTTTCCCGCCGGAGCCAGCATTTTATCGCTGCCACCGCCGCTGTCATTAATGCGGGCATCTGCCAGGAGAGAGAAAGCGAAGATGAAATGGGATTGCTCTCTGCCCGTGGCCTCGTGCCACGCAGTCTGCCAGCCCCCCCCGCCCGTCCGCCCACCCGCTGCCCAGCGATCGCTCTGCGGGTTGGACGCGCGGGCGATAGCTGTCGTGTCCGGACGCGATTCCGTTGTCTCCACCGCCGCTCTGTATTTAAATATCCGATCGATCGGCGCTGCTCCCGCCGATCGACTGTGTCTTGACAAACGCTCGCCGGCGCCGAGACGTAGCGCGATCATCGCCGTTGTTACTGCTGCTGCCGCAGCCGGGTGTACCGTGACAGACGGCCGCGGTCGTAATTTGCAACCCGTGGCGCGGCTTGCGGTCGCGGTGTAACGTTTCAGCCGCGCTGGGCGAGCGCGTAGGCGATGTGACGCTCGCGGGTCGTCTGATGTGTGCGACGGCCAGGTGCTCGGTGTGCGGCAGCGGTGTCATTGTGTGGCTGCCCGACACAGACCAGTGGTTTGACATCCAGCTGGTGGGGCGGGGTGACACGTGGCCGAGCGGTGCGCAGCTCCGGCGGCTGCGATGCTCGGCGCCGGTGTGAGGCACCTGAGAGATGCTAGGCCGTCGACTCGGCCTCAAAGGAGAAGCTGGCGCGCGGTGTGTGTCGTAAACGTCGCCACTGGGGAGACAAAGGTGGCCGGGCGTGGGGCTGCCCACCCACCCCCTCGTGTGCCACGGTGCCAGCCTTCATATTCGGTGCTGCTACTCGCTACTAGCGGCACTGGCCCCTACTTGCTACTCGCGGCGCTTGCTCCTCCAGCTCTGTTGACGCTACACGGGGGAACTTTGTCCGCTCGTCAGCTCCGGCAGACCCCCCCGCCGTCACGGCGTGACGACGCGTGACGTCACGTGACGACGCGTGACGACGCGTGACGACGCCCGTCACGCTTGCGTGCCCCGGTCCCGGCCACGTGCCCTGCCGTGACCGTCGCGCGATGGCGATGCGAACGCAGTGAGAGCCCTTCTCTACACGCCCTTTGCCAACCTCCGCTCGACGGGACGTTGCTCCTTCTCTGCTGCTGCCCCCTTAGTCTAGAGCT